TATATATATATGTAATTAATGACCAAAAGCTATTATACGAGCCTCGACCATCCTTAATACGCCTAACAATTCAAGTACCACCCTACACTCGGAGGGTTTCGAACTACAAAACAGATGTTTTTACAACTGACAAACAAATGTCCGATCAATTGATCTGAGCACGCGGCGCCACACACCCACACGCATAAAAATAAACACAGACACATATTTCAAACCCCAGATCAGAGGCAAGCAAATGCACGCGCGCGCACACACATACACAAAAATCACCCGGATAATTAATTTATAAATATCAATATTTCAAGAGATTTCTATATAAGTATCCTTTTTTTTTTATATTTTTTTGTAATATGACATATGATGGGTATATAAATATGAATTGGGCGTCATCCATGTAAATGCGCCTAATTTAATTTTTTTATTATTACATAATCACAATTGAGTTTTAAATTAATATTTCTATTAAAATATTTTGATCTGAACCATGAAAGCGTTTGGAGAAGCTTGTACTTAGTCAGGACCGATGCGAAAACACAGATTTCGACGACAATTTTTTTGAAAAAGTTATCAAAATGTAGTTTACCCAAACAACGACTACATCATTGTTGTCCAATGTCCTATTGAGTATCATAATTTTATTTAATTATAATAACTTAAGATTATTTTTTATACAATTTGTCCCACATATTTTTCTAGTATTGACACAATGATTAAAATGATTCATGTCATAATTTTTATAATTTTTTTGACAAAAAATTTTACACTTACTGTCAACTACATACCTCAACTCTTTAGTTTTTGCATGCAGACCCACAAATGATAGTGTTCAAACATATATTCATATATAAAGAAATAAATTTTGATTCTATAACATTATTCTACAAACATTTTATTCTAAAGCTCATTTCTACTTGCTTGTAAGAGTAAATACATGCTAGAATAGATAAAATTTTTGTTGTACAAAATAACCTAAAATTGAGTTAAACCATTATTTTATCAATGTAATTAAAGCCTCAATGAGTAAAAAATATTACATCAGCACTACACACGTAGAGTAATGTGCGTAGCCAATCAAATCACGTCACGATACCCCGCGCGACACAAAAAAAAACGGCGCTGTAACACGAGGAATATTTCCCCTCGTGTTATTCATGTGTTATTATGTGTTATTCATGTGTTATTGTGTTATTATAACACAGAAATATTCACATGACACAATAACACATGAATAACACGCAATAACATATGAATAACACGATAACACGGGAGAGAATATTCTCCCGTGTTACTGCACCGTTTTTTTTCTCTGTCGGGAATATTTTTCGTGTTATTCAAGTGTTATTGTGTGTTATTCATGTGTTATTGTGTCCTGAGAATATTCTTGGTATTATAATAACACAATAACACTTCAATAACACATGAATAACACGCAATAACACATGAATAACGCAGGGGGGAATATTCCCCATGTTACTGCAACGTTTTTTTTGCTCTGTGGGGAATATTCCCCGTGTTACTGCGCCATTTTTTTTGTTCTGTCGCGTTTGCTCTGTCGCGCGAGATGTCGTGATGTGATTTGATTGGCTACGCACGTTATTTTTACGTGCGTAGTACTGATGTAATATTTTTTCCTCAATGAGTGGTATGAATGGGCATTTACATGCAAAGCAATCAAATTTTTAACATCACATAAAAAATAACTATTAGTAGAATTTTTATATATGAAACCCATCTTTTCATGCATAAGTTTGTAACATCAAAATTTTAAAAATGTAAATATCAAACTTTTAGTGTTAGATGTGTAAATACATAAGACTTATGTGATATGTACTTATATTCCCCACAACTATAACTCCGCAAATGAAAATAAAATCTTACTACGCACCCAAATCAAAACTTCGTGAGGCTAACAGAGCTCAAGAGTAGTTTTTCTCTTTTTGTGGGGGATTGCTCGAACGAATAATTTGGCTTCAAAATTAAATCTTAACGCATCTTACTGATTTATTTTAGCTTATATATAATTTATTGTGTGTTGTTAATCACAGGAAATTTAACACATCATAATGTTAAATCCATTTAAGACGTAGGGTTTCGTATTATTCGTGGATTATGTACAAATCTTACTAATAGTGAGCAAAAGAGGGAGAAAGAGAGAGGAAGAGCCTATGGAAAGAGAGGATCTTACCTCCCACCCTCTTTGTTTTTATATTCAACCACTATTAAAATTAGCCATGGGCTGTCCTTTCATGATATGCAAAATTATATAAATATGCAAAATATTAAACTATATCCAACAATTTTATGTCATTTTTAACATTTTTATGTCTCATCCCGCCATATAATTGAACTTGAAAGTTTGTCAATTCGGCAATTTATCAGTTCAGCGATTACACAATTCAACAACTGCACAATTCTATAGTTGAGCAATTAGACGTTTGGGTAATTAAACAGCTGAACAATTCATCAATTTGACAACCAGACAATTCAACAATTCAGCAGTTGGGCAACTCAAAATGTCTTTTTTAATTGTATACACATATAAAGATTTATGCATTAATTGTTTGATTTATTTAATTTGAATGTATGCATCATATAGAATATTTCTTTTTCTCAACCAAGAGCTATAACATGTGTTTAGTTATTTTCTCTCTCCAATCTTCGTGCTCAATAAACCTTGAATAAAAATCACAAAATTAAAAAAAAATAGAAAATTTGTGTCAATATCTAATTTAAAAATTATAATAAAAAGAAATTTTATGTGCATTTACATAAATACTAACATAATTCTTATTTATTTATATATCTAACACCAAAAATTTAATATTTACCATCAACAATTTCACCATCACCTACTTTAGAAAAGTAGGTCTCTTATGCATGGGTGTATTGTATCACAAAAATGTTATAAATATAAACATGAAAGTTTAGATGTTAGACATATAAATATAAAAGAATTACCTGATATATATGTAATTTTTCTTATGTTAAATAAATTGTATTAAATTCACCACATATGGTATTCACATTATCATATTGTATCCATCCCTCCATTGCTATGACATCTAATAACTCTCAAAACTACAACCACATGGTAAGTAACATCCTTTCCCCTATGTTGCAAGAAAAATCAAAATCAAACACTAATCATGCTTCAACTAAGCATAGAGACCTAAAAATGCCCAAAGGATCACCATTGGAAGAAGAAGTGAGCTTCGAGGCCTCGAGCTTCCGTTCGGCAGCCATGGATAGGAGTCTGGAGATGGCATGACACAGTTGTCACCATTGAAGTAAATTCGACGAGGAAACGCCCATCCTTTTTCGAAAGTAAACGTCGATGCGTCCTTGCGAAGGAGTACTTCGGATTGAACGTTCCCGGAAGGACCAGCTGTCATCAATAGGTCGTTGTAATACTTTATACCCCAAAACATACCGGTGTCATCTAAGAAAAAAATTTAGACAAAATAATTTGTTAGTGGAAATATACAAATTTTCAAACCCATTTTCAATAAAAAAATGCAATTTTGTCAACCAAGATTAAGGGTTGTTTGGGGTAGCTGCAGCTTATTAAAAAAATAACTGTGAAACTATTGAAAAATAATCTGATATTCAAAAAAATTGTGCTGACAATTACATTTTTTTTTCTTTAATAAGTCCGACAGCAATTAAAAAACTGTCACCCCACCTAGTCAAGATCGGTGGGAAAAAATAGATTTCAACGGCGGCAATTTTTTGAAAAAACTGTCAAAACACAGTTTACCCAAACATACAATAAATATCGGTGTTAGATATGCAAAAATACATAGGAATGGAGTGGCAAGCATGTAAACCTTCCAAATAAAAATTTGGGGACATTCACATAAATACCGCCCAATTCTTAGTATTTTTATATCTAACATTTAATCTTTGATTTTTTACATTTATACCACAAAAATTTTTCATATCACATAAAAAATATCACTATTTTAACTTTTACGAAAAGTGAAATACACATTTTCATGCATAGATATGGTGGCATGTATGCAAAAATAAAAGTTTCAGTGTTAAAGATGTAAATACATAGGAATTGAGTGGAATATATGCAAATCTTCCAAATAAAAAATAAAGAGATCTATTAGATAACTTACTTATGGCTTCATAAGGAGTGAGGGACTTGTAATTGAAGCTAAATATTTCTGTGAGATTATTAAAATTAGGATGCTGAGCAACAAAGTTCCACTGCGTGTAATTCATCCTGTAGTTGAAGTTTGTAATTGTGATCTTTACACGCCAGTACTCCACATAGTTCAGCTTAACATGCCAATGAATTCTTATGGGACACATATGGGAAGTACACTGAACCAAAGGTGCAAAGCTGCTCTTGTCTGGGCCATTTACCACAGAAGCAAGATAAGGTGAATCTCCCCTGACAAAAAAAAAGGATTTTGCAGTTATTTTATTCGCTGCCAATATAGTAACTATTATGTTGTGGAGCCTAATATTAGCTCCACAAAAGAAAATATATTATGCAAACTTAGGCGGTGTTCGGCTGCAACTTGAATTAACTAGAAATAGGATTTATCGAATTCGATAAATCCTTCCAGGAAGATTCCACGGAAATGAAGCTCATCAACGGCAAAACAAATCCTTTAAGTTCAACTCATATTCAGATTTATTAAATCCAAATTTACATGGCAATGGAGGTGGAATACGGGAAGAAAGTGATGAAACACGAAAATACTAGATTTAATGGGGCTTCGGATTTAAATTTTATTTTTTTTATGTTTATGCTACCAGGCACCGCCTTAGTTGAGACATCCAATCTTTGCAGGCTATAGTTTCAGTGGCTAATTTTTGCTTAAAAAGAGAGGGCGTACTATTTTTATAGAGTATTGCAATTACGGTTATGAGAACCCTGCAATAAAACAATAGTTAAATCTGATGGTGAATTTGTATAAATTTTTATAGTATGTTTTGTGAAGTAATTTTCTTTCTGTTTTGCTCTTGGTGATTTAACAAGGTTTGGTGCTATTTCCCAACAGCTGTGCCATACAATATTAAGGTTTCCCTCAGATCAACATCTCATCTTCATTGTTGCGCGTTGCTTGAATGAAAAAAGGACTATTTTTTCAAGCTTTATCCTAAAACTTGTTATAAAGATGCCGAAATAGTTCACGCATGTTTAACATGAGTTGAAATAATCCTCAGAATTCTTTTAGCCCGGATTAAGAAAATCTGTGTACGAAATTGACATGTTTAGACTCCAAGACTAAAATCGGTGCCTGTGATGAATCAAGGGACTATTTTGACACTATTCTACATTAAAAAAATATCAAAAACGCAGATTTTATAGCATTGTGATAGAAAATAAATGAAAACGTAAGCCATTTAGAAAGCTGAGGACATTAAAGCAGTTTCTTACTCCACACAGCTCCCGGGATGAGTGACATTGTTTTGGCAGCCACAAGAACATGTTGGACAGTTAACGATAGTATCGTTGTAGAAAGAAGAAAGAGAGACACAACATGAAGGAGTCTTCTGGGAAAGAAATTGAGAATAGGTGCATGTCACATTCCATGTCACTGCAATAACAGTAAAGAAATGCAATTATTTGTTTAAACAGCTATGATAGATCTATGATTTATGAAATTACAATTTTTCACAGGAGGTAAATGTCCAAAAGAACATAAAAATGATTTTTTGGTTATCATTAGTTAGAGAAAGCTAACCGCAAAAGATTTTAGGCAATAATTGGAGCAATCTTTATTATATTTTAGCCGCTCCCAAGCAGTTGGATAGTTTAATGATGATGATGATGTAAATACATAGTGAAATACATCAAAAATACCACAATTATAACTAAAGTAAAAAACCACCCAAATCCTATGTATTTACACATCTGACATAACTTTGCTTTTTTACATTCCTCACACCCAAACCACTATTAGAACTTTTAAAAAGTGAAATACGTCTTTTCATGCATATATGTAAGGTGACAAATATATGTAAAAATTGAATTTTAGGTGTTAGATATGTAAATACATAGGAATTGAGTGGCATGCATGTAAAGCTTCAAAAAATTTTATGCAACACCATATAAGCAGTTAGAAAATTGCAGGAATCATCAAGAGCTTGTTTTCAAGGATTTACAAACATAAAGGCTCTCAATTTACTCTAATTAACATAATAAGAAACAATTAACATATAGGTGGAATAAAAAAATAAGTTAACTTAGTGCATATTGCATAAGCCATAAGCTATGATATCTATCATATTTTAAGAACAATTTAAGTGCATCCAAACATTAAGATTTTACAACCCTTTTAGTGAATTCAGAGTAGTTTTTCGAAAAAAATTTATGCACTACCATATAACCAGTTTGAATATTGCAGAAATCATCAAAAACTTGCTTTCAAGGATTTATATACATAAAGGCTCTCAGTTTACTGTCCGACGCTGAGCTGAAATGCGCTGATAGCATTAGGTGGATCTTGAACCCATGAACTAATCACTCCACCCTTGCAACAATTAGCTATTTGCATATTATATGGAGTTCCGGGCAGAAGATCAACAACAGATGGATCTTTTTTGCAGCAATGAGGAATATTTCCCTTAAATTTCGAGCAATCTCCCTGCTCGGTAGTTTGTGCGCCAACCATAGACCATATAACCTCCTTCTTCGACCACGTCCATCCTAATATCCATCCTGGCGACTGAATGTGGCGATATTGTTGGTAGTTGTTGATGGTAACAACGGCCTGAGAGTTTACGTAATTTGATTAAATGTTTTTTTTTTGGGGGGACATTTACATACACACCACACAATTACTGTGTATTTACATAACTAACATTTAAATTTAGCTTTTTACATTTAAATTTTGTTTTTTACATTCATAACTTTTATTAAAAAGTGTAAGTGCTTTAGATATCTCTGATCCATTGTTCATTGAGATGGTAATATAAATGGGGATGGTACTAGCAGAATTCAAATTGGTTAGTTGAAGTGGAGGAATGCTTCGGGCTTATTGTGTCATAGAAAAGTACCGCTTAGGCTGAAGAAAATTTTAAAAGACAATGTTGAGACCTGCAATGCTCTATGGAGCAGAATGTTGGGCCTTTAAAAGAGAAGCATAAAACATGAGAATGCTTAGGTGGATGAGTGGCTTTACACTTAGATACAAAATGCGAAATGAATATATTTGTGATAGGGTTGGTGTAGCTGTAGTGACAGACAAAATTAGAGAGATTCGTCTTAAATGATTTAGTCACATTAAACATCGACTATCTGATGATCCAATTAGGAGAGTAGATGTTTTAGATTCGACTTATATTAAGAAAGGCAGAGGTAGACCTACAAAGACCTAGGCATATTGTATAAAAAATGATCTTAATTTATTAGAATTAAATGAAAATATGAAAGTCAATAAGATGCAATGGAGAAAAATGATTCATGTAGCCGACCACGCTTAGTGGGATAACGGCTTGTTGTTGTTGTATTTTTTACATTTATGGCATCCAAATGTTTCATATCACATAAAAAATACCAT